GAGTCGACTTTTAGGGTTTATTGCGTTTTAGTGTTCGTAAAGTTGAAAGGCTAGTGTAAACTCAGACGATTAGGACGAGCAGCAGTTACCCTATTTATTACCCGTACATAATTCCAATTTAAAATACACAACATATTCATACTACGCTTCACGGAAGACTGATATTAGGGCCTCTGTTTCAGCTCCCTTCAAAATCCAAAAATCAGCTGAAGAAAAAAAATACAATGTTCTTTTTAAGTGTTATTCACCTCTTCAAATTAAAAAATTCAGAATATTGAATCTGAGATTATCCCCCATCCAATCTATATTCACTTCAAGAACTCTGTATAGTACCAGCCTATCATAGCCAAAACTATTAAAAAGATAATTACTGTGTACAAAGAAGCTCAAACAGCCGGTAAACATTTGGTTATGACTAATAGTATGGATGCGTGAAAGAATACAGCAATATCCTCAATTGTCAATATGGTGAGGTTTTTCAAATTTTCAGTCCTACGATATTAGAACTGTGTCATCACGTTAGCAGTTTTGCCTAAATTTGAGAAAATAGTCACAACATGCCTTTACCCAACCTACAGAGTTGCACCAGCCGGTCTGGACAGCTTACAGCATCTCAACGCGCATAATCACTAACTCAACTATGGTGTGACCTATATAGGCGTTGAAAGGTCTTACAGAACTACCGTCTCCAATATTTCAAAGAAATCCTCTCCGACATATTCTCCCTTTTCTACCACTCACTAAAAAAATCTTTGCGTGCATCCAAAGCATTACTATAGACCGCAAAGCGCAAAGCCTGGTCCATTTGTTGCCCATTAGGGGATTACCTGAGAGCTTGTAATTCCACTTTTTACCAGCAAAACCGGTTAATTTCAAATTTCTCCAAAAACTTATGAGCGCTGCTTTCAATCATTATACATTGAATAAATATAAAAAAAAAGTTAGCAAATTATGAGCAAATAAAATCCTAAAAATTATAGAAATGCACCCTTAATTAAAAAACGTTACATGCAGAACACTCTATTCTGCTTCACAGACGGACTTCTAGTGTAGGAACCCTAGGAGGCCGAGAGCTTTAATTAGTGGAGTGAACCCAAAAAGGCAAAAGGGCTTACTCTAAAATTACATTCGAGCGAAATCCTACGATCAATTCTGTACCTCCAGCTGAAATTTAGTTACATTGTATTTACCTTCCAATCTGTATAATCAGCTCGGCTTATGAATCCACATGGAACATAATATCAATGTGAACAAAATCCCAATTTAGCCTGATTTTAGTAAATGCAACTCCCGACCCCACAGACGCCGCATCTAGAATTCAAAATGTTTATAAGGCCAAAAATACCATCAGACCTTAACCAGCTTTCTTCAGAATAATTACCTCCGATCTCTAAGCCGAAATAATATTTCTATTTCTTATTATTAGCAGATGAACTACAAAAAAAGAAATGATAAGGGAACAGTGACCAAAAAAATCATTATCAACAATTTCCCTGAGTTGCTAATGTCATTTTTACACTACTTCTCACTCTTACAGCAATCCTTTGAAAATTACAAAAAAAAAAAAAAAAAATAGAATTTTATCTTTGGTTAAACCAAATTTAGACACATGTTGAACGTCTTAAATTTACTTCCCCAACTTATTTCCTCAGAAGAAAGCAAACGGCACTGAAATAAAATAAGGCATCAAACCAAAATAGCAACAAAAAACACCACTCCAAAAAATAAATACATTTCACTCGCGTAACTTTCTGAAAATTCTGTTATGTTTCCACTGTAAGAAGCACTAAATAACTGAGCGAAACCCTACAACAAAAGACGACAACTTCTCACGCTAACCACTCATCCATCATATCTTTTTAATTTACCAACTAATATATATACTGCTTACCATATACTAAAAACTACTATTTTCAAAACTAGTAAGAGACCACCGCAGAATTCCCCTTTTTTTTCATTACGGGTATTAATTTAGACCTTCATAAAGAAGATAATGCATCCGAATAGCTGTATTCCAAAAAATTCCAATTCTGGTCCTCGCAGTGGTCGCTTAATCGATTGCAATAGATATATTTAAAGAGTAGTATTGAATTGAAAACAGTTGTAATGCTTCCCCCGCACTCCGCACGCAAAATAATTTCAAGTTTCCGCATAAAAAACTGTGTTCAAAGCCACTTTCACAACTGGGAAAAATCACTGAGCAGAAATAGGATAAATTTTTCTGAAAAACTGCTATATTTGGCACCTAAGAAACCCATGATAATTCTCCAAGTAATTGTAGAAAGGGTGCATTGAATAATACTAAATTTTAACAAGGGGAAAAGATGAAATAGACCCCCTGAACGACATTTGTAAACCTTAAGAAAAAAGTAAAAGAATGATAAAAGTTAAAACTTTTTTACGGCTCTATCACGGGCAATTCTCAATATTTCCACTCTTCTCCCAAAAAATACCTCCCATCACGTACTTTTTACCAACGAAGAACCCTCCCTCTCAAATAGTCTCTAAGCTTTGTTAGGAGTCCCGACCTTCGTATTCATACGACAAAGGACAAACATGTGATTTGAAAGACACCAACAAATAACTATACATCAGTGGAGAAACGGTACAGCTGCATTCTGAATCCAAAATTCGGGTTTGCACAAGGTCTGCGACTAGTAAGATATGTTAGCGCTAGCGAATAATTTAAATTAGTTACTGTAAGAAGATAAGCTACAACTATAGATGCACTCCTGCTGACACCGGCAAGACAATGAACCAAAACCGCACCTAAAAAAGCTTCGTCGTTAACTAAATACTCCACACCTAGTAAGACCAGTCTAACTACCTTTAACTGTATACAAAAAAAAAAAAAAAACATGTACCAATCAAGGGTTGAAATCAAATGACGTGATCATATAAAAGCAAATTTTTTAAAACGACTTACGTTTCTGCAACCTAGCGAGGTGAATGAATTCCACTGCTTCGCAGAAATGAACACTTATATTTTCTTCAGGGGAATCATTGATATTTATATACAAAACGTTATATGGCTTTTCACCATAATTTGTCTGCCTCATCCCATGAACGCAGACTATGTCGGTTATCTAAAAATAATGTAAGGGGTTAGTAAGTCCAAATTTTAGCACCGTCTCGCGGAAAACTAAATATATTTCCAATTACTACCTCATTGCTATCCATCTGCTCAGGATCAGTGGCGTCAAATATACTACCCAAATAAAGATTCGGAAGTATCTTGCACATAACATTGAGTCGTAACGCTCTAACCCTTCGCAACGAACTAATTTGCTCAAATAAACGCTCTTCTATTTCCGCATTACTGCCGCCCGGTCTATCCACTGACATCCTTTCAACCTCTGTGATGGCTCTCCAAACTACTACTGCCAAAATCTGTAAAAAGAAAAAAAA